GAATCATCCAACCCAAAGTTAAACCAGCTCCAAAACCAGAGATGATCACCTCAGCCTCCCAGACAGAAGCAGGAATCAGCACACATTCTGCTGTACACCAGGGTACAGGGGAGCCTTCCTATATCCTCATCACCCGCTCCTTCTCCCTGGGTGAGCCCAGGCCACTCTGTCCCTTGGTCCCTCCCTTTTGAAGTTAAGGACAGTATTAGGACCAGCCTCACAGGGCTGTCCCGGAGGTCACTGATATCATTCCCATCAAGGCTTGGAACTCTGTTTGCCACCAAATGACCCCACAGGTCAAACCTGGCCCAGCAGATTCTTGAGCCTACATGCCCTGCCACCCTGATGTCAGAGTCCACCCTCCCCTGTGCCCAAAAAGCCATGGGAAGCTCAAGGCAGGTTCTGCTGATCCTACTAAATCCCTGACCTAAAGCCTCTCAGGGCTCAGCCTAAACAAAGTCAAACAAGATTTGTTTTTTCCTATGAGAACAGCAAAAACAGAAATTTTGAAAAAGGTTTTTATAAGCACTGGTGAAATGCAAACTGACTAATTTTGTAAGTCACTGACAGTGTGTATAAAAGGCATTTAGAATATAAAAGGCATTTGAAAGCATGTGACCCATTAATGCAAGAAACAGATCATAAGGAAAGGACTGGTACTGACAAGGGTGCCCACTGCACCAGCATTCATATGGCTGCAAAAGACAGAGAGTCAGCTAAGAGTTGAGCGTTATGTCTAGATTAAATGAGTAAAAGAGGCCCAAGAGGAAACTGCAGCTCTGTAGAAGATGATGGATGTGCTGACATGCCTGAGAAACATGACAGCAAACAGGGCTGCAGAAGCTGAGGATGGCCCATCAGCAAAGAAAGAAGAGCACAGATGAGGTCACTATTGATAAATCCATCATGCAAATGGAAAATGTCTTGGTTGAAAATGCACCTAATCCACCTAGCCCTGCATACATCCTGGTTTAGCAACACAACAACGCTGTGTAATGTCAGTCATATCCCCTCATGACCACATATCTGACTGGGAGCCCGTGTGGCTGCCAATGTCCAGCATTCTCGAGAGATGGTCAGACAACCTATCACTAGCCCAGGAGAAGATCCAAACTAAAAATGCAAAATTAAAATGTGCTGGGCCTGGTGGCGCACACCTGTAATCCCAGCAGCTCAGGAGGCTAAGGCAGGAGGATCACAAGTTCAAAGCCAGCTTCAGTAAAAACAAGGCACTAAGCAACTCAGTGAGACCCTGTCTCTAAATAAAATACAAAATAGGGCTAGGGATGTGGCTCAGTAGTCAAATGCCTCTGAGTTCAATCCCAGGTATCCCCCCCAAAAAAAAATGTGAAGTAAGGTTACTGATAAATGTATTTCACTTCAACAACAACAACAAAAAAGCATAAAGTCCAACCATTACCAGTCCAGCCATCACTAGGTCCAACCATCGTAAATCGGGACTGTGTGCATATGATTCACACACATATACACTCACACTTACAGGCACATGTGGACACATGGCCAGAATGCAGGCTAATTCTGAAATGTATCATTACTCTTCCTTTTTCTTATAGGAGCACAGATTATGAGTCAAATGGAGAGAGAAAGCCACCATGCCTACAGCCAGCCTTGAGGCAGTCCCAGCTCCCAGCAAGGCATCCAGTCCTCTTGCTCACCATCAAGGGGCTGTTCATGCCCTCTGTCCCAAATTAGATGACTCCTGGGCAAGGAAGTTAATAAAGGGTACTGTCGAAATGTCTTGAAACTGGAGAGTTCTCACCAAACTAGAACCACTTACATTCAAACTCTGTGCTGGCTGAGAGGATACAATGGCTTGAAGAGGGCCCTTGCCTGAAGCTGTAGTCCAGCCACACCACCTGGATGTGCCACCCCAGAGCAGCTTGCCCTCACTGCCCCAACCCCTTCCTCTCAGCTCCACCCATAAGACTGTTTCCCAAGGTGATATCACCTCCCTTGGACT